CTTGGAAGGCTGAGGTGGAAGGATCGCCGGAGCTCAGCAGGTCGAGGCTGCGGTGGCCGGAGCGGCCACTGCACTCCAGCAGTCTGGGCGACAGAGTGAGACTCCAACTCAAAACAAACAAACAAAAACCCTATTGTTTATTTATTTATCTATTGTATTATCTATCAGGAAAACTAAACAATCTATGTTTAGGCAAGAGGTTTGCCTGGACCCAGCAGTCTCCACCTGCTGGGCTCAGGTGATCCTTCTGCCTCAGTCTTCCAAGTAGCTGGAATCATAGGTGTGCACTACCACACCTGGTTACCTTTTTGATTTATTTTAGAGACGAGGTCTCTCCAAGTTGCCCAGGCTGGTCAGAACCCCTGGGCTCAAGCAATCCTCTCTGCCTCCCAAAGTGCAGGGATTACAGGTGTGAATCACTGCCATGCCTCACTTACAATTATTTTTAAATTAAATTAAATTTTTTTTTTAGACAGGGTCTTGTTCTGTAGTCCAAGCTGGAATATAGTGGAGTGATCATAGCTAACTGTACCCTTGAGCTCCTGGGCTCAAGCAATCCTCCCACCTCAGCCTCCCAAGTAGCTGGGACCACAGACCAGTGCCACCAAGCCCAACTAATTTTTTTTTGCGTGTGTAGAGATGGGGGTCTCACTATGTTGCCCTGGATGGCCTCAGACTCCTGGCCTCAAGCGATACTCCCACCTTGACCTTCCAGAGTACTAGGATTACAGGTGTTAGCCACGGAGCCCAGCCTTTTTTTTTTTTTTGAGTTGGAGTCTCACTCTGTTGCCCAGGCTGGAGTGCAATGGCACACTCATGACCACTGCAGCCTCGACCTGCTGGGTACAGGTGATCCTTTCGCCTCAGCCTTCCAAGTAGCTGGAACTACAGACATGCACCACCATGCCCAGCTAATTTTTCTTTGATTTATTGTAGAGATGAGGTCTTGCCAAGTTGCCCATACTGGTCTTGAACTCATGAACTCAGGCACCCAAAGTGCACCTCGGCCTCCCAAAGTGCTGTGATTACAGGCGTGAGCCACTGCACCCAGCCTCAGCCTGTTTTTTAATTAAAAAAAATTATTTTATCTAAAGATGGTCTGGGCACAATGGCTCACACTTGTAATCCCAGCACTTTGGGAAACAGAGGTGGGAGGACTGCCTGAGCCCAGGAGTTCGAGACCAGCTTGGTCAACATATGTCTCTACAAAAAACATATGCCTCTACATAAAAAGCATATGTCTCTACAAAAATAAAATAAAAAAATTAGCCGGGTGTGGTGGCATGTACCTGTAAGTCCCAGCTACTCAGGAGACAGATGCAGGAGGATTGCTTGAACCCAGGAGTTTCAGGTTGCAGTGATCTACAATCATGTCACTGCTGCCTGGGCAACAGAGTGAGACCCTGTCTCAAAAAAAAAAAATAATAATAATAATAATAAAAAATAAAGATGCTCTGTTGCTCTGTTACTCAGGCTGGCCTCAAACTCCCTGATTCTCTCATCTCAGCCTCCCAAGCAGCTGGGACTACAGGTACATGCCACCACACCTGGTCAAATAAATTTATTTATTTATTTGTTTGTTTGTTTTTGAGTTGGAGTCTCACTCTGTCGCCCAGGCTGGAGTGCAGTGGCGCACTTATGGCCATCTCAGCATCGACCTGCTGGGTTCTGGCAATCCTTCTGCCTCAGCCTTCCAAATAGCTGAAACTACAGGTGCGTGCTACCATGCCTGGCTAATTTTTGATTTATTGTTATTTATTTTTGAGTCGGAGTCTTACTCTGTTGCCCAGACTGAAGTGCAGTGGCATGCTGCTCATGGCCACCACTGCCTCGACCTGCTGGGCAATCCTTCTGCTTCAGTCTTCTAAGGAGCTGGAACTACAGGCATGTGCCACCACACCCAGCTAATTTTTTGATTTATTGTAGAGATGAGGTCTCACCATGTTGCCCAGGCTGGTCTTGAACCCGTGGGCTCAGGCAATCCTCTTACCTCAGTCTCCCAAAGTGCTGGGATTACAGGCGTGAGCTACTGTGCCCAATCAAACAGAATTATTTCTTTCATTTTTTTTTTTTTTTTTTGAGTTCAGGTCTCACTCTTGTCTCCCAGGCTGGAGTGCAGTGGCACACTGCTCACAGCCACCTCTACCTTGACCTGCTGAGCTCAGATGATTCTTCCACCTCAGTCTTCCAAGTAGCTGGAACTACAGATGCATGTCACCACACAATGGCTACAAATAAAATTATATTTTTTAAAAGCAAGGGAGTGAGCCGGGCTCGGTGGCTCAGCCTGTAATCCCGCACCTTTGGGAGACTGAGGTGAGTGGATTGCCTGAGCCCGCGGGTTCGAGACTCACCTGGGCAGCGAGACCCCATCTCTACAATAAATAAAAAAATCAGCCGGGCATGGTAGCGCGTGCCTGTAATTCCGGCTACTTGGAAGGCTGAGGTGGAAGGATTGCCAGAGCCCAGCAGGTTGAGGCTGCGGTGGCCGGGAGCGGCCACTGCACCCCAGTCTGGGGGACAGAGTGAGACTCCAACTAAAATAAATAAATAAATAAAATAAAATAAAAGCAAGTGAGTGGGTTGGGCTCCGCAGTCCAGCACTTTGGGAGGCTGAGGCGAATAGACTGCCTGAGTCCATGGGTTCGAGACCAGCCTGGGCAACTTGGCGAGACCTCGTCTCTACAAAAAAAATAAAAAATTAGTGGGGCATGATAGCTCATGCCTGTAGTTCCGACTACTTGGAAGGCTGAGGCGGAAGGATCGCCGGAACCCAGCAAGTTGATGCTGGGGTGGCCACGAGTGTGCCACGGCACTCCAGCCCGGGTGATGGAGTGAGATTCCAACTCAAAAAAACAAACAAAAAAACCCCCAAAACCAAAAAACAGCAAGGGAACGAATCATTTAAACCACACAAAATTCAAGACAGTGGCAACTTTGGGTTGTGGAGAGGCATCGAGGAGGAACGCACATTTGACTGTTTGATGTCTTGGTTCTTAGACTGGGCAGTGGGTGCCCAGAGCATTTATCCGGTAAGAAACAAGCAGCATGCAAAAAAAGGTAGGCCTTGCATGGAAAGTGTGTCGTGAACCGAGGATTACGTTTAATCCAATCTGGTGCCTCTGAGGTCTTGTAGGTGGCAGGGCTGGGGAGGCCAGGTAGGGGGAAGAGTCCTGTGGCCTCACCCCACTCTACTTACACGATGGCGCTCACTCCTCGGCAGTAACGCTCCCACATGCTGCGGAAACGCGGCTGTCCCCCAATGTCCCAGAGCTGAGCAAGAAGAGGGTGAGATGGCTCAGTAGCCGGCAGACAACCTAAACCAGTGCTGTCTCCCAAAGGCCCGCTCCTGTCCTATCCTACTCCCACCCCCCCGCTTTTTTCTCTTCAGTTCTCCTCTCTCTTCACAGCCCTCTGACTATCTGAGAAGTCTTTTAAAACATATTTATTTATTTCGAGACAATCTTACTCTGTTGCCCTGTCTGGAGCGCAGTGGCGTGATCATAGCTCACCCCAGTCTCAAAAACTCCCGGGCTCAAGTGATCCTCCTGCCTCAGCCTCCCAGAGTAGCCGGGACTATAGGTGCGTCCAGCAGATGTCATCTTTCTTTTCCCAGTTCCCCAGGAAGGGGACCCAAGCCTCAGCCCTCCTTGAGCTCGCTCCGCCCCGGGGCCTTGGTTGTCCTGACCAACACACACAGTCCTCTGCATCCCCATAGCTTGGGCCTAGAGTTCCAGGCTTCTGCCCCTCACCTTGATGGTCACATTCCCTTTGGTGATTTTGCGCATGTTGAAACCCACGGTGGGGATCATATCCTCATTGAACTGTCCTGACTGGAAAGAAGACTCAGAATGGGAAAAGGTGCAAAAATCAACAGGCCCCAGATATGCATTCCCATCACCCATCTACTCTGCCTCTCAACAGCCATGACCAAGAGGCTGTAAGAATAATGCAGGGGTCAAGTCAGAGCTCCTCAGACTTCCCATGGGGTATCACATAGGCTGTCTTTCTCTGTCTCTCTCTCTTTCTGAGTTGAGGGTGTCACTCTTGCCCATCACAGCTTCAACTTCCTGAAACTGAGGTGATCCTTTTGCCTCACCTCCACACTTGGCTAATTTTTTGATTTCGTGTGGAGACAGGGTCTTGCTAGGTTGCCCAGACTGGTCTCAAACCTCAAACTCCTGGGTTCAAGCAATCCTCTTGCCTCAGCCTCCCAAAGTGCTGGGGTTATAGTGTGAGCTACTGTGCTTGGCTGAGAGATCATTTCTTGAATATCTCTTGCTTTCAAGCAGGACAGGTCATAACCAACCTAGGTGTCCCGCCACACTTGGAGACGTCCTGTGAAGAGGCCTATCTTCATCAGGCAATCTTCAGTCTCTCAAGCTAGAATGGGAAAAAAATCTTTCTAAGGTCTAAACTACATCTCGTTGTCATAACTGAAGCCTCTTTCCTGTATTTAGTCTCCAGGTGAGAAGAAGGATAAATTAGCTCCCAAGAAAAGACCCAAACAGGTCATGGTCTAATAGTCTAGGAGGATCTCAAGGAAAGCAGACATATTTTCTTTCTTTTTTTTTTTTTTTGAGTCAGAGTCTCACTCTGTCACCCAAGCTAGAGTGCAGTGGCACACTAACAGCCACTGCAGCCTCAACTTGCTAGGCTTCCAAGTAGCTGGAACTACAGGTGCACGCCACCACGCCCGGCTAATTGTCTTGAATTATTGTAGAGATGAGGTCTCGCCATGTTGCCCAGGCTGGTCTCGAACCCATGGGCTCAGGCAATCCTCTTGCCTTCACCTCTCAAAGTGCTGGGATTACAGGCATGAGCCACTGCGTCTGGCCATATTTTCAAAGTAGTAGTAAATAATATTCAAGTCAAACTGAACTTTTTTGGCCATTCCCCAAAATGCAATGCATGCCAAGCAATTTCTGTGGTCTTAGTTTATCCGTACTCTACTCCAGTGGCTAGGATGTATAATCTACACTCTCTATTATCTGTTTATTTTTATTTTTATTTTTTTTGAGTTGGAGTCTCACTCTGTCGCCCAGACTGGAGTGCAGTGGCTGCTCCTGGCCACTGCAACCTCGACCTGCTGGGCCCCGGCGATCCTTCCGCCTCAGCCTTCCAAGTAGCTGGAACTACAGGTGCGCGCTACCACGCCCGGCTAATTTTTGATTTATTGTAGAGATGAGGTCCCGTCAAGTTGCCCAGGCGGGTCTCGAACCCGCGGGCTCAGGCAATCCACTCACCTCGGCCTCCCAAAGTGCTGGGATTACAGGCTGAGCCACCGAGCCTGGCCTATGATCTGTTTATTTATGTGTATCCCCACTAGACCGAAAGTTCTTGGGGAGAGGAACCAGAGGTCTGCAGTAACAGCATTAGTGAATGTTTGTTGAATACTGGGAGTTGACTAGAATTCGGGGGTCTCACTCTGTCACCCAGACTGGAGTACAATGGCGTCCATTTTCACATTCTAATATTTTTCACCTCTTCCCTGTAAATTTTCACTAAGATCTCTAGATTATTCAAAACTAGCTACGGGTATCAAATAAGGCCAGACCCAACCCTTCCAGGCCATTTCCAAATTCACATGTAAGACACTTCTGCTCACCCCCGAGAAGCAGATCCTTGAGCCTGAGGTGACAGCCCTGTTCCTTTACCAAATACTTTTTTCCTACCAGGTGACAGGAATAATTTGTCTTGGGTCACATAAACAGGTCAGGGCCCTGAGCATTTGTCAAGGTGTAGGAGATGCTGAGTTCTTATTCAGGGCTTGCAAGTCCAAATGAAGACCCCCCGAGGCCCTGTTTAAATAGAATGCATTGATTCCCTTAACCTGCAGGAATCGCCCATTCACTCCCAGGGGTGATGTGAGGACTGAGTACCCATGACCCACGCCCAATGACAAACTAAAGCAGTGGTTCCTAACCCGGGCTCCATAGGTAGGCTTAAGTCCCCCACATGCCCCAAAACTGCACACCATCTGTGTGTGCATGGCTTTGTTTGTATGGACACTTTTCTGGGGAAAGGGTCTATAACCTTTCTCAGACATAAAAAAGTTTCGTTAGCCCCCAAAGATTAGGAGTCACCGAGGAAGGGGGAGACCTCGAGGAGGACTACTTCGCTTCTGGCTAAGAAGAGAGCGCTGAATGTGGTCTAACTAGCCTCACCCCAGCAGGGGTGTCAGCACAGGGCACCTGCTGGACGAAATCCACCCCATCCCCATCCGTGCTGATGAAGAACTGAGTCTAAGAAAGGAAGCCCAGATGCTCAACACTCATCACAGGGGAGCCTTAGGGTCTCCCGCTGTAAAATGGGGACAAGGGTTTTGATTTCCCGGGAATTGTCAGTAAGGCCCACAAAGTGCTTGGATGTGTTTTGACATAGCATGGGGAACCACCGCTGCTCTTTGGCAACTAGGAGACCCCAGGCTCCCAAATAAAGGAGAAGCCTCGCCTGACAGACTGTGACCTTGGCAGAGGGGACACGATGAGAAGTTTCAGGGAGCCAGGCTCCCTGGCCTCAGGAGTTCCTGTTCAGCTGTGAATCAGAGCTAAGTTGGAATCATGATGTAATTTCCCCACTAATGCTTCCCTGTCTCACAGGCTCCTCACTGAAGGTTGGAAGTGACCTCAAGTTATCTACTTACTATAACCTCTTGTCTCAGCCTCGAATCCCTCTGCCCCCTTTCCTTCTGGGGTCAGCTCCAACTATAGAAAGCTCTTTTTTCTTCCACCATGCCCAGCTAGTTTTTTTGTGATTTACTGTAGAGATGAGGTCTCACCAAGTTGCCCAGGCTGGTCTCAAACCCCTCGAGCCTCTTGCCTCAGCTTCCCAAAGTGCTGGGATTACAGGCCGAGCCACCGCGTCCAGTCTTTTTTTTTTTCTTTTTTTAATAATCAATATTTTTTATTATGATATTGTGGGGTACAGTTAAGGGTTAGGTATACCAATGTGCTTCGTTCAGGCACCCTTGTTGCTAAGAGGTGTCTCCCTGTTTTTTTTCTTTTTAAAAAACTTTTTGTAGAGACGCTATGTTGCTTAGGCTGGTCTCAGACTCTTGGCCTCAAATAATCCTCCCAACTTGGCCTCCCAGCGTGCTGGGATTACAAGTGTGAGCCGCCACACCTAGCCAGAAAGGACTTTATAATGAGTCAAAAACCCATCTTATAACTTCCATCCCTTGTTCCTGAGTCCCCTTGGGCACCCCAAAACTAGTTCTTCCTCCATAGGACAGTCTTTGACACCTTTAAATATTTGAAAATGACCCTCTTGTTTCCCTAGGATAAAACATCTCCGACTTTTCCAGCATCACAACTTTTTCAGAATTCAAAAGATCAGTTTTAGTTCTTAGAAGCATTGCAAAGTCTCTACATAATTTTCTCCAGCTCACATTGCTAGACACACTAAACTCAATTTCTATTTACGGCCAGACATCACAGAGTGAGTAGAAAAAAAAAGCCAATGGAGAAAGATCTGAGACACACAGAGGCCAGATGAACAGGTAAAGGGAATTCAGAAATTCAGCAGCAAACATGGGAACACAGCCCAGGGGTCCCCTCTTCATTTCTTTCTGGAAGACACTCAACTGCGATTATTCATCGGGTGGGCAGAAATGCCAGTGTGGTAGTCCTGAGAACATTGGAGTTACCCAGACACTGGAATCCCAACTGCAGCCCACAAGAGGTGGTTTTCCTCAGGAAGCCTGTTTAAAGAAGGGAATTTAACCAGCTTACTCTTTTAGGACATACCAGCTAAAGTGGCAAATTCAATATCCAAAGGGGGAACACAAGGGCTAGGGAGGGGGCACCTTCCCTTTATGTCACAGAAACTCTAATCCTGGCAGTGGAACTTGGGCTGTTTTTGACCTAACACAACCTCCGACTCTGTATATGATGCTGATCTAGATGGGTCCTCCTGCCAAAGATTGGCCTCCAGAACCGGAAACTGAACCCACTTGGGTACCGGGTGGGCTCTGGTCCAGGAGCACAGCTTTACTGGAGAGCCCCCCTGGGGGCAGGAAGTGACATCTAGGTTGAGTCCAGCAACTTGTTTCCATTCTTGGCCTTACCCCAGAGACATTTCCCAGACCTAACCGCCTAGAAGCCAAGCCACCCCTGCAAAGCCAGGTCGGAGGCCAGGTGTTGTGTTCCTGCTGTGGGAGCCCAAGAGTCTGAGTCAATGCCAAGTCTAATCAAAGGGTCTCTGACCCCAGGGGGACAGCCTGGGCAGACAGGAGCCCAGGGGGCCCAGAAAATCATAGTGCCAAAAACCTCAGCATTGGTCTGAAGATTCTATCTTGTTAGATGGGGAGCCAGGAGATACAGGGTCAAGGAAGGGGCACAGGTCATTTGCAGAGCCTGTCTAGGAAAGGCAATGCTCATGACCAAGGAGCATCTTTCCGTCTGGCCTCCCCCCAGCATAGTACACCTCCTCCCGGGAACGCTACCCTCTGAGATGCTAAGACCTGACGAGGAGGCTCATCATCTCCCAGGCTGAAAACAACACAGGCAGGTGGCGGTACCCAGGCTGGCTGGCCACATTCCTCGGCTGCCCTATCTCATCAGCATTTCTGGTCAGTATATGGCCAACTCACAGTTCTCTGGAACCCCTGGCTTTAGGGCTGGGGCCAGGTCCCTGGACAACTCTAGCCCCTGTCCCAAGCTTCCTGGACCCACAAGCCCAGTCCAGCCTGGCTAGGAATGGCAGGCCGCAGCCATTACTGCAGCCTCAGCTCACACCCAGGGAGCTCATCTCCCCCCGCCCTTTTTTTTGAAAGAGAGAGCGAGATTTTAACTCCTTCCCCACCACTCCCCTGGCACTGAAAGACTCTTAGAATCGCCCACCTCAGTCTTGACTACCCGAAGCCCTCAGAGCCACTCTCTCCCGTGTCCCCAGCAGGCAAAGCCCCTCCGACCCGTCCTCGCTGGTCGGGAGCACCTCCTCCTGCAACTTCTGAGCCAGGCGGGGACTCCAAACTCCCTCTGCGATGCATCCTCCCTGGACCCCCGGCCAGACACCCCAGGTCGGGAGAGGTTCGGGAAGGAGGAGTCTGGGCTTGAGCCAAGGGCCTCAGCTGACTCCTCTGCCCCCAGGGGATACCTCCCCTCCCCCTCAATAGGGCCGGGGCTTCCTCTTCCGGAGGGGTTAAGCCCTCTGGGTGGGGCTGGGCTTGCCCAGGCCCCCTCCCCAAGCCGCTCGGTCGCCTAGTCCCGTGACCCTCCACGCGCGGGGCGGGAAGGCCCAGACACTTTCGCCCCGTCATGCCCCCTCGCGCGGGGGCCAGAGAGGACCTGTCTCATCGGCAGCGGGTCCCGCCTGCCTCGAGACCCTTGGGGACCGCCGCCCCCGGGCACCAACCCTGTCCCTCGGTGCCCCTTCCCCCCTCCCCGCCGGGCCATCCCGGCCCGGGCGGGAGAGCGGGTCGCGCGCCTCCGGGTCCCCCCGGGCCGTACTAGGCCCCAAGCGCCCCGGGCCGGCTCCTCCCCCGCCCGGCGCCCGGCCGTGCCCGGCCATGCCAGGCGGCGACCCGGCTCGCCGGGACGCGGCGCGGGCGGGAGACAGGCCGGACCCTCGGCCCACGCCCCGGGCCCCCGTACCGCGATCACGTTGACGAAGG